TTGGATTTTGGACTCTTTGTAATAGTTTTGTACTCTTTTATATGGTTTTGGACTGATTTGAATGGTTTTTTTATTAAACTATTTTGACTTGATTTGGAGAGTTTCAATTATTTGTTTTGGATTATTATAAATTATTTATAATTAATTTTTTTTTTTGTGAAATCTTTATTAATTAAATTGAAACTTATAATTTAATGTTTAATTATTAATAGATAAAATAATTGATATAAATGAAGTACTCCAACAACAATAAGAAAATAAATATCCTTTCTCAATAATTTTTCTAAAAACAAAGTAAAAGTTAATCATTGACCATGGAAATATAAAGCAAATGAATAAATGGAAATAAGTAAGAAACGTTAGGGTGCTGGTTGGTAATCAGAAAATATAAATTTGAAGGTAAGGAATTAAATGAAAATCATAGTTGTATTCTTTATTTTTAGTGGTTTCAGATATGTGTTTGGAAGTAGATTTGGTAATTGAATCTCAATTTAAAAAAATTGTTAAATGTGTGTTTAATAATATATTTGTAAAAGTAGTTACAAAATAAATTTTTGTTTAATCGAAACTTATATTGATTAATTTATTAACAATTTTTTGTGAATTTTGCATAATTATTACTGTACAAGGTTATATAATTTAAAATACATTATATTTTACATGTTTGAATTTTAACCAACATAAAATGAGTTTATAATATGAAGTAATATATTTATCAAAGTTTTTATGATCTTAAAAATTTTAAATTATGAATTTGAAAATATAAAAAAGTCGTTTTTAGAATTTCTACGGTTTGGATCACAGAATCTAAAAATAGTTTTGAAAAACGAATCTCAGAATAAGATTCCAACCTCAAATTCTGTCTGAATTGGGAGCTGTCAAGAAAGATGCATAATATGTAGGATGTGTTACAAAAAATACCTAATGAATTTTAATTTAAAAATACCCTTATCTAAAAGTTATAATAGTTGATCACCTTTTATAAATGTTTAAGGATATATTTCATAGGTGTTTCAAAAGATGTCATTCCAACAAACATCGGTTAATATTTCGAATTTTAAACGAAAAGTAGTCATCGTAGAATGTGAAATGATGTGGTAATTAAAGGAAGCTTATCGAGAACAATTAGTTGTTGCTAGTAAAAAAAGTTCCTGAATAATAACAATGACGAACTCACAATTGACCGTGTTAAAGGTCAAGTTTGTTGAAGTGACAAGCAAGCTTCCATTAATTGACATGTATTCTGCCATGTCAGTTTTATGTTCAAATAAACTGATATCTGATCAAAAGTATATTTTGAAACATTTATGAGATGTAAAAGATAGTATTAAAACTCTTAAAAAGATGAGATTTTAAAAATAGAGGCAAAGTTTTAGGGTTTTTTTTTATTATTTGGCCAAAAATTTAATAGTAAAAAGAAAGCATGGCTACCATTTATTTTGTTCATAAAAAGATGGAGCCTGTACTATTATTAAAAAAAAAAAAAGATTAAAAAAGAAAATCTATTCCGTTGCCGGGACTTGAACCCGGGTCTCTTGGGTGAGAGCCAAGTATCCTAACCAACTAGACTACAACGGAATTTGAAACTGAAATGGGAAAAGGTTAATATCTAGTCAAAAGGAGGAGAGAAACAAACTCATTTTTCTTTTATTTTTTCTCCATTCTATATTTTAATTTCTTTGGACTTTTCTAAAAAAAAATATATATATTTTTTAAATTTAGGATTATTGAAACTAATTCCTAAAGTGGGATAAGTAATCGTGATTTGGGTTAAATTAGATACGTATGATGCGGTTCAATATAAATGGTAAGAATTGTAGTACACGATTTAAAGTAAATGTAGTTCTTATTGACAAATCTAGAACCATGTAGAGTGGACAAATAAATTGTTTGTTGATCGAGTTAGATGATCCCTTAATCGAGACTCATCTAATTTTATTCTTCCCTCCCTCTTCCCTCCAAACCAAAATTGTTTTCTCTCTTTAACTTGCGAATTTGCAGTCACCGCGATAAGTTTTTTTTCCTTCCTTTCTATCGTTAGTACTAGATTTTTTTGTAGTATTGTTTTGGACTGTTTTGAACTGATTATAAAGTATATTTAGTCTCGTTTATAGTAGATTTTTTCTTCTCTTCCTTTTTTTTTATTGTTTTGGACTATTTTGTGTATTATTATTATTATTATTTTTTTAGATTCATTTGGACTGTT